TGCTAACTCCCCAAGGAAAAAATAACTCGCGCGGGTGTTGAATGAAGGGAGTTAGTAATTAACTCTCTTTTGGAGTTGATTTTTAACTCGAAAAATTTCACTCCCAACTCCCGAGTCCGTTAACTCTCTAAATTTTTTACAGTGTATGAGGCAGAAGGATCGTTTTTGAAGTTAAACATTATTTTAAACAAAATTAGTTTAATTAGGAGAGTTTTTGACATTAAAAATTTGTTAAACAAAATTTTTACCTGAAAAACGATCCTTCTACCTCATATAGTATAAATGCAGGTTAATTGTTTATAACATTTTTACAAAAATATGTCTTTTTTTAAAAATTATGTAATATACGTTCTCATAGTAGTTTTTTGCGTCGAATCGAATGGCGCTATCAGTTTTTTATGAAAATCAATTTTTCTTCATTTGTTTATAACAAATTGTTTAAAAATTTTTTTTTTTAATTTTTAATGTCAAAAATTATCATTAGACCCTATGCCAGGATCCAATGGCGGATCCAATATGGCGGACAATTTTTTTAAAAACTCATTAAATTTGCTTGAAACTTGTTATTCGGGGGTTTTTGGGGTTGCTGATTACGAGTGTAATGTCCAATTTTTAAAATTGAACATGGCCGCTACAATATGACAGACGAATTTTCAGTTGAAATGCGATAATCACGTTCTGTAGCCATTAAAATACTTAAAATATTTTTAATGTTTTCCAACTTTTACCACGTGAAGGTAAACGTGAACTGGAAAGTCTTTTTTATTTTTAAATTTTATATTTTTTTTACTTTTTTCTTTTTTCATTTTTTATGTATTTTTCTTCTTTTTATTTGTTATTATAATTTTTGAATTTAAAAGTCAAAAAATGAAAATGTTTATGTTTTATTTTAATCATTACTTATTTCAAGGCCAAGGTCAAATTGAAAAAAACAATTTTTTTATCTCCAGCTTGCAGCTCTTGTAAAACTTTTCAAAAATCATTATTCACAGTTTTAATTCGATTAATTTTACCTATTAGTATATTAAATCGAAAAAAAGATATTTTAAAAAAAGACATAATTTATTTTAAAAATATTAAAAAAAAAGATTTTCCAGTTCACGTTTACCTCCACGTGGTGAAAGTTGGAAGGCATTCAAAATATTTTAAGTATTTTAGTGGCTAAAGAACTTGATTATTGAATTTCAACTGAAAATTCGTATGTCATATTGGAGCGGCCATGCTTAATTTTGAAAATTGGACATTATATTCGTAATCAGCGACACCAAAAAACCCTCGAGTAACAAGTTTCAAGCGAATCTAATGATTTTTTAGAAAAATTGTCCGCCATATTGGATCCGCCATTTCTAATTTTGAAAATTGGACCCCAGATTGGTGATCAGTGACCCCTAAAACCCCCGAGTAACAAATTTTAAGCTAATCTAATCAGTTTTTGAAAATTTGTCGGCCATATTGGATACGCCGTTTTGAATGTTGAAAATTGGATTTTAGATTCATAATCAGCGACCTCAAAAACCCCCGAATAACAAGTTTCAAGCAAATTTAATGAGTTAAAAAAAAATTGCCCGCCATATTGGATAATTGAATAAGCTTGAAAAGGATTCAAATTAAAGTATTTGAAACTTTGAATTTTCTATATTTTTAACTGTCAATTTTAAAGAATTAATTTTTTTGAAAAAGTTTAATTAAGTATTAATTTAAAAAAGAAGTTATTAATGTTTTCAAATAATTTTACAATTAAAAAAATTCGTAAATAAATGTAACAGAAACCTTTTGTTGAGTAAAATTTTTCCTTTATTATCTAAAAATTAAGAAATTTTCAATTTCACTTTCAATTAATATTTGCAATTGACAAATAAAATTTATAAACATTTTTTTCCTTTATTTTTTTAAAATCTTTGAATTTTTCTTAAAGCAATTGTAATTAAGAAATAGAAATGATGCAAATTATTTCCTTAAGAAAATTTATTGAATAAATGAATGTCTTTTAAAATTTAATTCTCATAATTCAATTTTAAGAAACATTTAGTTATTCAATAAATTATTTATTTTTGCATTTAAATAATTAAATTCTCGTAGAATTTTCTAGTAAAAATTGATTTCAAAATGGATTCTAGTCAAATTTTTAGATAATAATTAAATATTAAAAATATGCCATGAATTTTGATATTAAAATTTTTTTAAATTCAATTGCCAATGATGTGATGAAGATTGGCCCATTAACGGCACATTAATGGCACTTTAATGGCAAAAATTTTGTATCTTTGATGGCAAAATATAATTGCCAGAATTAGGGCGTAGCTTGGCCTAATAACGGCACATTCATGGCAAAGTTGATCAATCTTTAATGGCGAAATTCAATTGCCAGTGATGTGACGAAGATCGGTCCATTAATGGCTCATTAGTGGCACTTTAATGGCAAACATTTTGTATCTATGATGGCAAATTATAATTGCCAATATTGGGACGTAGCTCGGCCCAAGAATGGCACAGTATCGGCCAGTGTAGTGTAGCTTATAAGAACCCTTTTGCTTCCTCGATTTCAAGTCAGAGTAGCAGAGTGGTCAGAGTGTTAGGCTGTGGTGCGTCAGGTTCAGGTATCGATCCCCGCGAGAGGTAAGAATTTTTCAAATATTTGTAAGTTTGCGTTTAATTTAGGGAAATAAGCCGTATAAATGTTATAAATTAATTAGTTAATTAAATAAAAAAAATTTATTTTTATTTTTTTCTAATTTTGTCAACACTGGGGGAGTAATGGCTGCCAATAATGGGCCACTAATGTCTGCTGAGATCTGGCTGCCAATAATGGGCCACTAATGTCTGCCGAGATCTGGCGGCCAATATTGGGCCATTAATGTCTGCCGAGATCTGGCTGCCGACGTCCAACCGCTGTTAACACCACAAGAGTCGGCGCAAAGTCGGGCCAATATTGTCTGCCAAGTCTCGATGCCAGCTTTGCCAATACTGGGCCGCGTTGGTTTTCGCACTTGGGTTACTAGAATTCAATTTTTGATAAGGAAACTTAGGGAAATTTTTACATGGGATGGATTAATGCGCAAAACTTCAAGGATTAATTTAAAAAAAATAAAAATAAATGTTTTTCTCTAATTTTGTTGAGTTTTTTAGATGCATCTTTTGAGCCCTTATCGAATTTTGTTGACAAATGTAGAAGTAACTTTAAAATTATCGTTATCAACTTGAAGAGCATTAAAATAAGCTTCGATTGACCTATTTTTGAACCTGATTCGATCATAAATTTCGAAATTATTGGTATTTTAAAAACCAAAAATTGTGAAAAATGACATTCTCTTAACTTTTTTGTTTGAAAACTTTTCTTGAACTATTAAACTAATACAACTATCTTGTAAGGTATTTAAAAATATATTGGTTGACCCAAGATTCAATCACTTTTACCGTATTTATAAAAAGTTATTTATATATTTCTATTATTATTATTATCTCTATGAAGAAGAAAAGTATTCATGAAATGAAAACCAAAATTATAACAAAAATATAGGGAAGACTGGGGCTAAAGGTTAAATTTTGCATAAATGATTTTTTAGACAATATAATCCGCTTAGATGCAAATATTTATATATCAATATTGTAGGGCAACTTGTCCTCTACAACTTTTAATAAAAAAGTTTCTGACATTTTAGCGTAAAATACAGGTTTTGTCTTTTTTTGAAAATTTTGTTTTTTTAACATTTTACCCCATGCTGAGACTAAATGTTAAATGGCAGGGGCTAAATGTTAAATTCTATTTTTAGCCTACTAAAACTATTTTCTGATAGGTGTTAAGTAGTAGATAAGTTAAAGTATACGTAAACAATTAATTTAGTTAATAAATTATTATTAATTAAAATTTCAAAAAAAGTTTTTTTGTTTATTTCACGTGAACGGTTTTGTTTTTTGACAGGGTATTTGCCTAATGTTAAATAAATAATTTCTAAACAAATAAACCCAAAAAAATGTTAAAAACATTTTTAACAACATGTAAAGACACATTTAACATTTCGCCCCACCCATTATTTAAGATTTAGCCCCAGGGTGCGTTTTTGGCTTTAACAACAAATATAAAAAATCTGACTAAAGATATTTAGCAAATACCTTCAGGTATCTCTTCAGGAGACCCAAATAAATACCTAAAAAATAGCGTTGAGAATAAATTAAAAAAATATATATACTTAAAAGTTGATATTTTCTTTTACGAAAAAATTTCTAAAAGTAGGGTGAAAACAAACTTTAAATATATGTGACGCGCTCCCAAGAAAGGTACCTAAGAAGCAAACGAATTATAGGTTGGATTCGAGTTAGATTTATCTTGATTAAAAGTTAATTTGTAATTATTTGAATTTGAAACCAATATTCATTGAATATTTTGAATATAGTGAAGACTTGAAGACCAACAATTTTTAATTAATAATTGATTCTGTTTCTGTATTTTTACTTACAAAATTTAAAACATAACCTCAAATTTTTTGCTTCTTAGGTACCTTTCTTGGGAGCGCGTCACATATCGACAGCACAAAAATGAACAGAATGTCACATAACTCCGGACATTTATTTAGAGTGATAACACCCTTCTATAATTAAAATTTCAATGCTCTAACTATTTTCGTTCAAAAGATAATGAACTTTAACTGTTATTTAGCTCCAGTCTCCCCTACAACTTGTTTTTATTTTATATAATGAATAGGGAAAGATTTGGCAAAATTAGTATGTTGTCCTTACAGCTAATTGTCACTTCCTATAATGTACGGCGCCATATATTACTACTTAAACGAATTTACATATTCTAATTGAATTAATTATGATTCCTTATTATTTCAAGGAAAAAATACTATTGAGTAATATTGTATAATAATATTGCATACAAAATTTTAATATATTTAAATGAGAATTATATGAATTTTAAATATTGGCCTATAAGTTTACTTAATTCGTACTAAAATTTCGTATACATGAATGTTTAAATAAAATGTAAAAAAAATCACTCAAACACTTTGTAAAGAGGTGGGGAGTTTGGAAAGTTATTCGAACAAGTGAGATACTAATAAAAATATGTCTTCAATCTACAGTCAGTCAATCGATGAACACAGTCAAACACGAACTTCTAACCGGTAGGTCCCTTTCACTTTTTAAAAACTTGAATATTCAAAATTATAAATTTTTATGTTATAAAAGTAATTTTTTAATACATTATTTTATAGTCGTTTCTTATCTTCAATGTTTGTTACTTATCATGAAATGTGGTAATGGTAAAGTTGTTTTCTTATTAATAAATTTCTTTAATGAAGTATTTAATATTTAACAAACTATAATTTAATTCTAATCTCATTAAACTATTATAAATTGATACTTTTAATAATTTAAATTTATTTTTTTATATGAAAAATGCTTCATTTATTGTAAAAATATTATATTTAAATAGCACGAAATTTAAAACATTTTATTTTTTATCCTTGAAATTAATGCACAGATTAAAATTAACATTAATGAACCGCTTTACTTTTGTTAAAGAAATAAATCCAAAAGAAAGAAGAATATTTTAAAATAAAAAATTTTTAATAATAAAGTTACGTTTTCCCGGTGAGACCTATAAAGTACATTTATTGTTTATAAACTTACATTATTTGGAAAAACTATAACCTATAAATAGAATTTTATTAAAGACATAAAAAGTATACAATAATGTACACTATCTTTATTATCCCATTTGCAAATAATTATTGCATGGACCTTGTTAGAGTAGTGCATGGTAAACTGTGACAATTTACAAAGAAATATGGGGACGAGGTTCGAGTCGTATTGATAAGTTCCACCTCACAATGACCTTGAATTGCAACTCTGAGACAAAATTGCTTTGCAATATATATATATATATTAACACGATGCGATGATTCATTTTTTAAGAGTCAATTTTTACAGAGATAATTTTTTTTAGTCTTTTGCTTTTATTATCAAAAGTTTTTGACTTACAAAACAATTTATAGGAGAAAAAAATGCTTTTTAAAATTTTTTTTATTAGATAGATTTAAAAAAATTAAAATTTTAAGATTTAATTTTTTTGCAGGATAACACTGCCCTGTAGCGTTGTCATAAAATTGCATGTTAAGTCAATTTTTTGTTTGTTAAACTAACAATGGTTGGCCAGACAACTTATCCCAAAGTCGGCCCAAATTTAAATAATAATTAATACTGAACAAAAATTAATTAAAAATTATTTAATTATTTGAACAATTAATACATTATTATTATTATTATTTGGGACGTTTAAATAAACCTCTATCTATTAAACGCAATAGTCTACATAATTTTTTTGAAAATGTGTAACGCTCGCTGGGATCAAAACCTTAACCTACCGCACCGGAGTATACGTTATTACGCATGCTACACTTAAATGGAGAAATATAAAAGAAAAACAATATTTGTCCTAATGTCGTCGTTGCTATTAACCTTCTATAACAATCAAAACTGTAAAAAAAGGAATTTTTCTATTATTTCTTATTGCATTGTGGTCAATTTATCCGTATGTGCACATTATTTAATTTGGATAAAAGTTAAAACGTTGAAATAAACCTCCTCCACTATGAGGAAAAGTTTTAATAAAAATAATCACAAAGATAAAACCATTAGTGATCAAATTTGGCAGCGGTTTTCCAATTGTCATAACATTCGTTCTACATAATTATTTGGCGATAATTTTCATATAGGACTATTATCATCTGACATACTGATTACGATGTCCTACAAAAAAATTTATTTTGGATATTAAAAATTACAAGAACTACAATTTATTACAAAATTTAATTTTTTCGTTTTTCTGAAAAACTTGTCGTTTAGCATTTTTTTTACAATAAAATATTTGTGTCAAATTTTCTCAAAACACATTAGCGGGCATATAATATTTGAACCTTATTCATCAAAGTTTAACTATGTTTTTTTCATGTTTTAAAATTTTTCGAAAAAAGTTTTTTGCAAATATTTTTAAAAAATGTTCCGAGAACGATAATGAAATATTCGGTAATGTTCGTCAAAGTTATTAACATTAAAAATATCAAACTTTAAAAAAAGCTACTTCTTTGGGTTTTTTAGTTATAAATTCAGATTTAATTGTATTTTTTTCTTTAAATTTGTAGTGTTTTTGACTTCTTATTGAACATTTTTTTTATATAATAGCCAACGTTATTTATATTTCAAAAATTAGAAATTAAAAAAAATAAATTTTTGTGTTTTTCAAAGTATTAAATTTGCGATAATATCTAACGATAATGTAATTTATAAAATTCTTAAAATAATAATTTTATGTGGAAGCAAAGTGTTCATAAAATGAAGACAAAAAATTGAATTTTAACTTTGCAACGGTTTTATTTATTTAATTTTGGAAAAAAAATTAATATTGCTCAAGAAAATTTTAAAACAAATATGTGTACGTTAAGGGATTTTACCACTTTGACCCGACCAAAACATACGCTTTTTTAACAATTTTTATTAAAAAATATAAATTTTATTAAAAAAATTAAAATACAGTTAGGGTGTTATACTACTCTTGAAATGCAAAAAAATTTTTTTTTAAATGTCGGTATGACAGATGATTTAGCGGAGTGCTTTAAAAATATATTTTCGAACGGTAGACACTGTAACTCGGTTGAATTTGAATATTTTAAGAATTATAATCACTCACGCTTTAAATTCATTTAATTTCAATCTGTAGATGTGCTCCTAGAAAAAGGCTATGTTTAGAGTTGTTCACGGTCAAATTTAAGTTGATAGTTATTGTAATCTTTTCTTTATTTCTAAAGGCACATTATTTTCCAATTTCAAGATTTATTCGTTTGTTCAAGACGAATAAGTGCTGTTGTAAAAAATTTTAGTTGAATTATCGCCGCAAAAGATATTGTATAAAGTTTATAGAAATTTTAATATTAAAAAATAATGAATAACGCTATTTTTAATTACTACAATTTCTTTATAATTAGGAGCACATATTTTTTAGCATTCAATACATTCTATAAAAAGTAAAGTATAATTCACCATCGTTCAGAATTGTTTCGTTGTATGCTAATAGAATAGGAAATAGGAATAGAAACTTGAGTAACACTGAAAATTTCATTTTTTTAAAAGAATTAACTCTATTTTATTATTTACATAGGGCAAGTAGGCTAAAATTTATTTAACTTTCTTAGTTCAATAGATTCTTAGAGGCTTTCTAAAGTAGTAAAATTAACAATCAATTTATATTTTTTTTGTTTCAGACAAAACACAATGAAAAAAGTTTTTTCAATTGTCTTCATACCATTACTAATTGCAGCATCATGTGGACAAGTAAGAAAATATTTTATATCAAATTTGTAATTTAGAAGGAACCGTATGGTTTTGCAATGTTTTACATAAAACATAACTGCGGACATCGTATGAGAGTTAAAATGAACTATTTTAGAAATTATGATTGACAGATCTACATTTGTTAATTTACTATTTTAAAAATTACAGGAATTAAAAGCTGTGGTAAAATTAGTACCCAACAATGTTGCTAAATTGAATGTTACTGGAATTCTACTTATTTCGCAAAGTGTGAAAAATGGTCCTGTCACAATTACTGGCACAATATATGGCATCCCCCCTGGTCTTCATGGTTTTCATGTTCATGAAAAAGGAGATATGACCAAAGGTTGCATTTCTACTGGTAAACACTTTAATCCTGAACGGGTAAGTTAATTGAAAAAATATAATTTTATATATATTTTTAGTCTTGTAAACATAAAACTGCCTCTTACTGATATGGTGCAAAAATACTTTTGAAACATTTAACTTCGAATCATAGGAGAACAAAAATAGTTTGAATTATTTATTTATATTTATTATAATAGTTCTTTTAATGTAGTTTAACTATTTTAAAGACTTACAAAATTATTTCACTTTTAATATACAAAAGAAATAGTTTTTTTACAGATTTTAAACACTTAATTTTATATTGTTTTGAGGTTCAAAAATAGTAAGGTTATTTCCAATTTGTATTGTAATTAAAGGAATCTCAAATATTTTTATTTTATTTTTATTTATTATTATTTATTTATCTTAATTTTTGTATTTAAGAAAGTTATTTTATTTTAATTTACTTTTTTTAACAACTGAAAATTATATTAATGTTTACAAATAATAGTTTATTTATTTTATCTTTTGCAAAAAACTTTAAAATTTTAATGGAATATCAAAAAAGTAGTACTTTCATTTACCTGTGCATTTTAGAACATAAAGTTCCAGCTTTTAATTTTGTCGTATTTGAATAAGCCAGTTGTAAAATTTAAAAGCATTTTGAATAATTTCCGTTTTTAATAATCCCGAGGAAAATTGAGGTTAGGCATCGTCTGCTGTCAACAGCACGTAGAAGCATGCGCAGTGATATCTCTTTATATTTGCTAGTTATCAAATATTTATATTAGGTTGGTAACAGTGCTTCGGTAGCATGGAAGGTGGGAGGAACTATGTGAGAATCTTCTACCTCCCCTCTTTTCTCGCACTAGTGCGTCTTAAATGACACTTTAGTCGAGTTTTTGACGTAAGGTGTTATAGAAATAATTATATACATTTATTAAATTATGATAGTTATTAATGTTACAATCGCATTAGATATAGATAAATGATTCTTGGTCTTAATCAATAAGTCAGACAGAATTGAGTTGACAACTTTTATTAAATAGATAAACATATTTTTACTGTTTCATCACAATGTGATGCACTTCGTTGAAATCGGAATAGTAAACTGATTATCAATTTTAGCTTGCACTGAAAGATCATACGTGAATCCAGGTGATAAATAATAAATCGTGAAAGGTACATCCGACTCAGAAGTTTCATAATAGTTAATAGGGGACTGAAATTTATTATCTTTTACAGATACATAATATATTACGGTACGATTATCATTCATGGGTTTTCTCCAAAGAATTGTACAACTTGTAGACGTGACATTTAACAGATTGAGTGGCTGCAATTGTCCCTTAGAAACTGCTGTGGATTAAAATGTTTGATAAATACAACAAAGTCGAAAACATTTAAGTTTCATGTTTAACACAACAATTGTTGATTTAAATACTTTAAGAAAATGAATTTCAAAATTTTCTTACTTTTTGAAGATAAAGTTTCACATGTTGTTGATAATGAAAATTTTTTTCCGTCAATAAAATAATACACTGTAATGTTATAGCTGACTTCAGAATTCAGATTTTTGACAGCATAAAATAATTTTGTTTTGAAATCTTTAAAATAGTTTATAGTGCCTTGCCAATCTTGTGTACTTGCTGCTATAAAATATAATATCGAACTCTGATCATTCGCTGGTTTTGTCCATGTAACTGTGCATGATGAATTCGTAACGCTTATCAATTTAAGTAGATCTACGAAATGAACACACAACAATATGAATTGAAATGCTTCATAAACATGACAGTGAATAAAATTAATCATTTTCGGAATTAAAAATGGAATCGTAAAATATACAAAGACCAAAAATACTTATAAAATGAATGTAAAATGAATCTCAATATTATATCATACCCAATTGAGACTTAGTGATGCACTTCGTTGAAACTGCAGTTGTATTCCAATTGTTAATTTCAGGTTGCACTGATATTTCATACATATCTCCAGATACAAGGTCTTTAAAAGTAAAAATTGATTCCGAAAAAGGAATTTTTCCCGTAATATAAACAGTATACATTGAATTGCTATTTAGATTTATGTAATATCTCACGGATTGATTATCATCAATAGAAGTTTTCACATAAATTTTACATGATGTATTCGTGACATTTAGCAAATCGACTGAAGATTCTGTATTTAAGGAATTAAAAATACAATGAAGACTATAAAAACCTAAGAATTATTTACAGAAAAAGAGTTATAAAAATTACCATCATACCTATGTTAGATCTAGTGATGCAATCCGTAGAGTTTTTAGTAAGGATTTGGTTGTAAATTTTAGATATCACGGTGATTTTATATTTAGAGCCAGGTTCAAGATTCGAAATTGAAAAAGGTATTTCCTTAAGAGAAGTTGTATAAAATAAACTAGTCAGATTCTCTCCACCTTTACTTGGATATATATCATAATTTACAGATTTGTCACCAAAAATAGGTTTATTCCAAAAAATGTTGCATGTTGTATACGTGACGCTTAACACTTGGACTATACTCATGAGAACAGTGTGAAAAATAGTTATTTTCAAAAGTAAATATAAGAAAGTATAACATAAGATATACTTTTGAAATATAATTTGTTCGAATTTAAAATATGAAACTATGGAGGTGGATTTTAATTTTAATTACTATTTCAAAGTCAAGTATTTTTACTTAGTGTTTTCATAAGTATCTTTATAATTTTTACAATATTAAAAAATAAAAATATGAGATCTGTTTAAATGGACGTCTTGTAACACTGTCAAAACAGTGTTTCAATGTAAGATGTTTTTGTCCCCACTTTTGAAACATTTGAGGTGTTTTACCTCAATAATTTTGAGGTAAAACATCTCAAATGTTTCAAAAGTGGGGACAAAACGTCATACATTGAGACACTTGTTTTTACAGTGAAGTTGTAGTAAATCATGAATACAATTTGATTATAATTATATAAACATTTATCGTAAAAATTATAAAGCCTGTGAAAGAAAATATGTTACCAATTTGAGGCAGAGGGCAAAATATTGTTTTATATGTTTCATTCCCTTCTTTTACAATTATGTGTAATGGTTTATTTCCTGCTACAATTACAAGTGCGGAGAGTAAGCTGAAAACACGATTTGTTTTATGATTAATATTAAAAATAAATTTCACTTCGAGGTACTTGTTTCTTAAATTAGGGAATGGAAATAACTTACTGCAATGTTTTCCACACCATCTTAATCGTTTTCTAGACAAAATGAAATGAAATTCTTCTTCTAGTACCTATATCAAACGCTGTAAGGAATTAGAATGAAAATTTCTTAAAATAATGTCTAAGAATTTAATTTGTAATATTGAATTTTAGATACCGTTAACCAATAAGAATCCACTTCGTATAACTTCGTATTATTAACGTTAAAGTCACATGAAGGACATCACAGTATAATTTAATTAGAATTTAATCAACAATCGTGCATATTATGATGGTATTTATTACTCTACCAAAAAGTTCTGTAAAAATAATTTAAATTATCTATAAGCTATAAATTTTATAACTGAAAGATATAAAATTTACGGAAACTTACTTTTCACAAACAACTATATTTTTAGCAATAAATCAATAAAACTGCATTTGACAAAGTTTTGCCAACCGAGGCCCAGAGTTCGGCCGACCAAAATAGTGTAATCCAATTAAACTGCGTTTCACAGAGTTTTGACAACCGTCGGGCCAACCGTGGCCCAGAGTTCGCCCAACTAAGAAAGTTTAAGTCATTTAAACTGCATTTGACAAAGTTTTGCCAACCGTCGGGCAAACCAAGGCCCAGAGTTTGTCCGACCAAGAAAAATTGTCGATCAAGAAAAAAAGTCAATTAAACTGCGTTTCATAGAGTTTTTCCAATTGTCGGGCCAACCGTGGCCCAGAGTTCAGCCGACCAAAAAAATGGAAACTCTGGCAACCAAAACTTCCCTTGCCAAAGTTAGGCCAACCTTGGACTAACCTTCAAACTCTGGCGGCCAACCCAAATTCGCACCTGGGAATGTGATTCGAATTTATTTCGAATCAATGTGTTTATCAAATAATTATATTGTTAATATCATAAGACGTCGTTTATTTTTTAGTTTGATATATAAATATTAGAGCTGTGCAAAATAATTCGAACCGAACTGTTCGAATTTTTTCGCCTAGTTCGAATGTCGAAAATTCGACATTCGAGTTAGCTTAGTTCGAATGTCAAACCGACATTCGAACTAGCCAAGTTCGGATGTCGTATATTCGACATTTGACATTTCGGCGCCCCAAAATCGAACAAAACTCGGTTCGGTTCGAATTTTGCACAGCTCTAATAAATATTTATATCCCAGTGGGTACACTTCTTCAAAAGACGTCCTAAGGATTTATTTTTGATGATGTCTTTTAGATTTTAAGAAAAGACATCTTTAAGGTGGTGTCAAAATCGATGCTGATGAATATAAAAGTTCTTAGAATTTTTCTGAATAAAATTCATTTTATTAAGAAGTCAGATCGTAAACTTTGTAGAGGTTCATATCTGTCTCAAATGTCTGAGGTGCTAAAGTAGAAATGCTTCAAGCCCCAAATATTCAAGTTCGATCCTAGCTTCGTAAAAATTTTACATTATTTCTGCATATTTTAGAAAAATAAAGTTAAACTTAAAATAAATTTAATACAATATTAATATGTTTCAACTTGGAAAATATTGTAAAAGAAATGTCTATTTAAGATCTGAAGGGATGTGAAAAGGACGTCCAAAAGACGTCCCTTTTATGTCTTTTAGACCCCCGAAAGACGCCTTTAAGATGTTTAATAATATTAATAAAACAATATATTTAGTAAATTCTTCCACAATTAAGGCTTCGTCCATATATTACGTAACGCTTTTGGGGGGAGGGGGGTCAAGTTATTTGTTATGATAAGCCAAAAAATGGCGCTAATGTATATAACAGTGTGTTACATGGGGGAAGGGGGGGGGGTCAAAATTTTCCAAAATAAGCGTTACGTAATATTTGGAATATAAATAAATAAAAATAATTTTCGAAAAAATTAATTTATTAAATAATAATAATAACGTTTTTTTCAAAAACAGGTGAATCATGGAGCTCCAAACGATAGAGTTCGGCATGTAGGAGATCTTGGTAATTTAAATGCGAGCGAAGATTGGACGGCTAAAGTAGATATTACTGACACCATGATATCTTTGAGTGGACCAAACAGTATCATCGGTAGAGCATTTGTTGTTCATGAAAAGACAGATGATCTAGGAAAAGGAAACTCAACATTATCTTTAGAAACAGGCGATGCTGGAGACCGCATAGCATGTGGAATCGTAGGAATTCAGTAGGTTACCATTTTTTTAATAATGTAACTTTATTCTTATTCAATATTTTTGACGTTCTACAGAAAAAGGTACCTTACATTATAAAATTCAATTTTGTATTTTTAATAATATTCGAAAATTTTCGAGCTGGAATCTAATTAAGGCCAGGACACGCTTAATTAGTGACTTCTTTGAGAAAAGGCATATTCCTAAACGCGACCGTACCTTTTTCCTTGGAGCTTCACATGTATTGTAAGTCGTAACTGATGAATTGCAAATTGTAAATATTCTATTTGAAAATAATTTTTTCTACACAAAAACAATTTTGGGTAATGTGATGTATGCGAAGTAGACTAACATTTGCCAATTGAGGTACAGTTTTGATTTCGGTAAATTATATTCTTCATTGTGGCGCGCTGATAGCACATAATGTGGCACTAGTCCCACTATTCGATATCTTTTGAACAATTGTAATATGTCACGTCACCCAAGACATTTTTTATGTGTATTTAAAAAGTTTTTATATTCTAATGTATGCACAATGTAAAATCCAATAGTATATTTTCAAAATTTTACAACACTACATAAAATAAATCCATGTTAATAAAATGTGGCTCTGTTTATTTAAAAACTTATTTAAATATCATTTGAAACCCCTAGATCAGACTTTTAATAATTGTTTGCATATCACTATTTTCTAATAAATTAATAAATCCAAATCTGTTATAGGCTTCCACATTATTTATTTATTTATTTATTAAAGCAGACTATATTTTCACATAACAATATTTAAAAACTTAACAATCTTTATTATACCTTGTATTAATATCTTCTACTATTCGAAAAATTCATTTTTGTCAAAAATTTTATATAAGTAACTGTATTTCCTTTGAGGTTTTAAGAAGAATTGCATGGAAAAAGGTTAGTTTGTCGGCTGTGATCTCCAAGAGGTTTACTTTACTTTATTTAATTGGTTAGAAAATTCAAGTTTAGTTTGGTTATTTTTAAAGAGTATTTTTTTATTTAAAAACGTATAAAGCGAAAAAAATTTAATTCTCACTGTAATTACGAAACGAAATAAAAGATGCATATTTTATTTTATTGATATTTAGATAATTGAAATGTTAATTTAAAAACTTTTTTATAGATTAATTAAAAAGACTAGATAAATTATTAAAATAATTTTAGATCAATTAACATGTGCACAGATCGTTCATAATATGATTTTATGCTATACTGGCTTTTATAAGTACTATACTTTATTAACTCTACCTCTGCGCACGATAAAATGTGAGGTTCTCCGTTACAATTGTATTAGACAAAGGTTTGTGTTTCCATTTCGCAAACAGAGGTAATTAGGGTGGTTCTTATTTTGAAAAAATTTTAATTTCTTAGGTCGCCGGCCGGAATTTGAATTAAAATGCAAAAAAATAAGCTACCCACAAGAACAGACCATTTGATAAATATTAACCCGTGCCAAAGATGGGTTAAAGTTTAGATGAGGTTTAACATGACTTGGGTCCTACCCAGGTGAAATTTTTTGGTCGGCCCATAGTTGGGCCAACTTTAACAAGGTCGGTCTAACTTCTCGTGCCAGAGGTTGGGCCAACCATACAGATGATAGCGGCGGCCGTCTAATGGCGACGATGGTTGGCCCGACAACTCATAAGGAAGTTGGCCTAACTTAAAATGCATATGTTGTGCCAACTATACACTTCAATGGTTGGTCCAAAGACTGACGTCAAAATTGGCACAACTTTAGATGCGTAAGTTGGGCCAACCACAATTTTCAAAGTTTGGCCAACTTCAAAAGCCAAAGGTAAAAAATTATTTAAAAAATAAAGTATTTAAACAATTAACACGTTATTATTAGCGGAAACATCAGACATAACCCTTTACCTATTATTATTAAACACAATCTCATACATACATTTTCGAAAATATCTAACGCTCGCTGGAATCGAACCCCTAACCTAACGCACCGAAGACTTATACACTGACCACTACGCTACGCTCACATGGGAGTGCATATCGCAAAATGTATATTAAAGCTGCAACAGTCGGGCCAACCGTGGCCCAGAGTTCGGCCGACCAAGAAAGTTTAAGTCATTTAAACTGCATTCGACAAAGTTTTGTCAACCGTTGGGCCAACCGTGGCCCAGAGTTCGGCCAACCAATAAAAATCAAGTCAATTAAACTGCGTTTCACAAAGTTTTGCCCACCGTCGGGCCAACCGTGGTCCAGAGTTTGGCCGACCAAGAATGTTTAAGTCATTTAAATTGCATTTGACAAAGTTTTGCCAACCGTTGGGCCAACCGTGGCCCAGAGTTCGGACAACCAAAAAAAATCAAGTCAATTAAACTGCGTTTCACAAAGTTTTGGCCACCGTCGGGCCATCCGTGGCCCAAAGTTCGGCAAACTAAGAAAGTTTAAGTCATTTAAACTGCATTTGACAAAGTTTTGCCAACCGTGGCCCAGAGTTTGTCCAACCAAGAAAAATCAAGTCAATTAAACTGCGTTTCACAAAGTTTTGCCCACCGTCGGGCCAACCGTGGCCTAAAGTTCGGCCAACCAAGAAAGTTTAAGTCATTTAAACTACATTTGACAAAGTTGTGCCAACCGTCGGGCCAACCGTGGCCCAGAGTTCGGCCGACTAAAATAATGTAAGTCATTTAAACTACATTTGAGAGAGTTTTGCCAACCGTTTGGCCAACCGTGGCCCAGAGTTCGGCCAACTAATAAAAATCAAGTCAATTAAACTGCGTTTCATAAAGTTTTGCCCACCGTCGGGCCAACCGTGGCCCAAAGTTCGGCCGACCAAGAAAGTTTAAGTCATTTAAACTGCATTTGACAAAGTTTTGCCAACCGTGGCCCAGAGTTCGGCCGACCAAAATAATGTAAGTCAATTAAACTGTGTTTCACATAGTTTTGCCAACCGTCGGGCCAACCGTGGCCCAGAGTTCGGCCGACCAAGAAATTTTAAGTCATTTAAACTGCATTTGACAAAGTTTTGCCAACCGTTGGGCCAACCGTGGCCCAGAGTTCGGCCAACCAATAAAAATTAAGTCAATTAAACTGCGTTTCACAGAGTTTTGCCAACCGTCGGGCCAACCGTGGCCCAGAGTTCGGCCAACCAATAAAAATCAAGTCAATTAAACTGCGTTTCACAGAGTTTTGCCAACCGTTGGGCCAACCGTTGGGCCAACCGTGGCCCAGAGTTCGGCCGACCAAGAAAGTTTAAGTCATTTAAACTGCATTTGACATATTTTTGCCAACCGTCGGGCCAACCGTGGCCCAGAGTTCGGCAGACCAAAATAATGTAAGTCAATTAAACTGCGTTTCACAAAGTTTTGTCAACCGTCGGGCCAACCGTGGCCCAGAGTTTGGCCGACCAAGAAAGTTTAAGTCAATGAAACTGCGTTTCTAGAATTTTGCCAACCGTTGGGCCAATTGTGGCCCAGATTTCGGCCAACCAAGAAAGTTAGTCATTTAAACTGCATTTGACTTAGTTTTGCCAACCGTCGGGCCAACCGAAACTGAAAGTCTTTTAAACTACGTTTGGATGAGTTGTGCCAACCTTTGTCGCCAAAGTTGGCCCGACGGTTGGTTAAACTCTGCATTTAATGGTTGGCTTGCAAAGTCGGACCAACTGTGGGCACTAGTACTTGCCAAAGTTGGTCAAACTCTGGCAACCAAAACTTCGCTTGCCAAAGTTAGGCCAACCTTGGGCCAACCTTCAAACTCTGGCGGCCAACTTTAATTCTCACCTGGGTATGTATTCCCACAGTTTTTCATACGCTGAACACGAATATGATGTCAAAAATATCTTTTGACAGCTACCGGTTGTCAAAAAGCTGTCAAAATTCTGTCAAATTTTGAAATGAGAATTTTGACGACTTTTACAATAACTTCTACGAATAAAACGGTTTCTTGTGAAAATTTAAGTTTATATCTAGCAATTTAATACACTTTGACGGTTGATAGCTGTCAACTGCCAAAATATATTAAAAACCTATGAGTAACCGCTTCGGAAACGAAACTAAATAGAAACTTACTTTCGTTTCAGTGTTTGAGTTGACACGAAACTAAATTAACAAAGTGACTTTAGTTTCAAATCGACACGAAACTAAATTAACAAACTGAGTTTAGTTTCGTGTCGACCCAAAACTAAATTAACAAATTAGATTTAGTTTCGTGTCGACTCAAAACAAAAGATTGAAAAACATAATTATTTAGTGTCAATCACAGAAAAATTGTTTCCTCTGACTTACGTAACTACAGTAACTTACGTAACCAGAGTAAATTACGTAACTACAGTAACTTATGTAACTAGAGTAATTTACGTACATAACTACAGTAAGTTACACAATTAATCAAATTTACGTAACTTACGTAAATTCGATCATTTACGTAAGTTTACTTAATTGCGTGCGTTTGATTATTTGCGTATGATACGTAACTTAAGTAAGTTCATTTAATTGCGTAAGTTATTCTATTTGCGTAACTTACGTTAGTTTAATTAATTGCGAAAGTTATTTTATTTACGTAACTTACGTAAGTTACTGCAGTTACGTTATTTACTCTGGTTACGTAACTTCCTTTAATTATGTAAGTTACTATAGTTACGTAATTTACTCTGGTTACATAACTTACATTAATTACTTACGTTGCTCTAGTCACGTAAGTCAGGGGAAACAATTTTTCTGTGATTGACACTAAATTAATAATTATGTTTTTGAATCTTTTGTTTTGAGTCGACACGAAACTAAATCTAATTTGTTTATTTAGTTTCGGGTCGACACGAAACTAAACTCAGTTTGTTAATTTAGTTTCGTGTCAACTTGAAACTAAAGTCACTTTGTTAATTTAGTTTCGTGTCAACTCAAACACTAAAACGAAACTAAACTTTCGAGACGGTCCCTGATACCTTTATATATGAACTAAATTTACCCTCAGAACCGTTTTTTGTGATAATTTATTTAAAACTCTTTGAAAACTGATATTTATAAAAGTTGACAACTCATTTGACAGCTTTTAACTGTCATAGAGTATTAAATTGCTATATATAAACTGTAATTTTTACAAGAAACCTTTTTTAACGTAGAAGTTAATATGAAATTCGTGAAAATTTTCATTTCTCAAAATTTGACAGAATTTTGACAACCGGTAGCTGTCAAAAGTTATTTTTGTAATCATATTCGTGTTCAGAGAGCGAAAAACTATGGAAATAGATAGACCCAAGTCAAATTTTCAAGATATGAAAAAGTTATAATACAAAGTTTGCAGATGTGCACCAAACCCATGTTAAACCCCATTTAAATTTTAACCCTTCGTCGGCACGGGTTTATCAAATGGGCTGTTTTTGTAGTTAGCTCATTTTTTTCCCATTTTAATTCAAATTACGGCCGGCGGCCTAAGAAATTCCAATTTTTCCAAAATTTTGCGCGCTAGCTACGAGAACAGCAGCCTTGCACAGACCAACGGAAGACCACGATGTCCTCAACCCATACTGTACAATATGTTCTTGTAACTTAACTTGGTACTTTTCCATCTCGACTTTCGACTCTGGTTGGATATTGATGTCTTTTCGCTAAAAGGAACGTTTTGTCAATTATCTATTGTGATATGAACTAACATTACCTTGATTATGGAACCTTATCACAATTTGGTCAACAATCAGGCATGATTAAATTATCATTATTATGGATTTTGGTGATGTTTCGTCAGCAATGAGGAGTGACTGATTCATCAACAATCCGGTTTTTCTGATGTCATGTTGATAATGGAGTGTAATAATACATTTTATTATAAGGATTCTGTCAACAATGGGGAGCGATAAATCCAACAAATCTCGTTAATTCATGGTTGCTGTACGACAATGAGGTGTGGATAGTCTGGAAATGACTATGTTTTATTATGATTTTTGTTTAAGTTTATGCTTTTGATGGTAGAAATAGATTCAGTCTTCGTATCGAGTCATCTACTACCGTATCTTGAATCTCCGTAGGCGTAGTCATAAATTATACGATTATTTATCGAGATTTTGACATAACACCTACGAACCATTGTTAAAGGACCATTTGTATTAATTTAGTTTAACTCAAGGCCGTAATGAGAAAAGGACATCGAAGGAATTAACACTACCGTAAGAAGGACGAATTTGGAAATTGTGTACCGTAAAATCGCACATTATTGTTCAAGACTTTTGTTATCAGCCACTTCGCCTTTTTTGCTTTCGTTTATTTTGTAAATTTAATTTTTTTTCATTCTTTGCCTTGAAGTCCTTTTTAAATCAAGCCCACCCAGTGGGCAAAAAACCATCATTGTTTTAAAAACGTTCCAAAAACGTTTTTAGAACGTTTCATGTCTGCCAAATAAAGTCCCAAAAACGTTAGGGGCCGTCCATAATCCACGTAGCCCCATTTTTTGGGAATTTTGACCCCCCCTCCCCCCATGTAGTACGCTATTACATGTATTAGCGCCATTTTTTCCTCTTGTCGTAGTCAATTGCTTGACCCCCCCCCCTCCCCCTCAAGAGGCTACGTGGTTTATGGATGGCCCCTTATATGATTCTAAAACGTTTTAAAATCAATGGAACGTTTTTGGAACATTATTTGGCAGACATGAAACGTTCTAAAAACGTTTTTGGAACGCTTTTAAAACAATGATGGTTTTTTTGCCCACTGGGCAATCAGTAACGTAAAGTAAAAATGTAATTCCAAAAATTATTATAGTCTGTCTTTTATAGAAATTAATTTTGAATCTTGTAACGTGGTCTTCTTTACGCGATTAAGTAATTGTCTCTTCGTAAAAGTATGAATTTCTAATTACGTATTACCAGCGTCGATTTGTATTCAACAAACGTAAGTTTGGCTAATAAACCTTTTTCATTTTTATTAAAATTGTTTTGCAATCATTCTCTTACCTTTCCCATTTTTCCCCTCGAATTATAATTGGAATTCCAGGTAACCAAATTATAATGTTTGAAATGAATTTTTTATGAAAACTTGTTGAGGACAAGTTGCTTTACAATATTGATCTATACATATTTGCATTGAAGAGGATTTATTGTCTAAAAAAATCATTTATGCAAAATTTAACATTTAGCCCCAGTCTCTCCTACATAATTATAATTCTCTATAATTTTAAAATTTCTAACAAATATTTAAAGTTTCATTTTAATCAGAGGCATATCGAAGGGAGGGGGTCAATAGGGTCTTAACCCTCCTAGGGCGAAAAATTTACTTTAAAAAAAGGTCATCTAATTATGGTTGGCGAACGCCGACGCACCTATGGATGACCCCCTCTGGAGTAAATTCTGGATCTGACACTGATTTTAATATGATTCTGTTTCAATTTTTATTTTTTAAATTTACGTTTTAAACTTAGATTGTTAATATATAATAATGTTTGAACTCCTAAATCATAATTATACTGTTTGATCTACTACACCCCAGGTAGTGCACTCACTCCAAAAAAATGATGTAGGAAGGAAAATATGGGTGATATTCAATCATTTTTTTAAAATTAAAGATGAAATAGGTATAAAAGTATGTTAACTGGAAAGTCAGTTTTTATGTAATGTAAAAATGACATAATTATACAACAAAAAGTGAAAAACTACGCTCAGGTCTCTCATACATAAATATATACATGGAAAAATGGTATACCGAAACGATTCACTTTTTCAAATGTTAATAATTGTAGACAAGTTTCTATAAACAAAAATCATTTTAGTTAGCGATATGTTTAAAAATGAATCATTGGAGAATAAAATATTTCTTTTACTATGTATCCTAATGAAAAGTCACTTTTCTGGTTTTAATATTACATCAATCATCATTTGCATAAATGATAAACTGATATAAGAGAATGTACAGCTTTTTGTTCAGTATTTTCTTAATGTTTAAAACTATATAATTTTTTTAATTGCAATATTTCTAACAAATCTTAATAAATTTACTTTAAATATATAAAGGATGAATAGAGGATCTTGACTGTTTAAAACAAAACTTAGGACTTTTAAATTGTAGAAAACATTTGCATGGAATAATTTCAAAACATTTAAAAATTTATTTTTAAATTGTTTGATAGTAAGCAAACTCACTCAACATTAATTTATGAATAATTATGTAAATTCGACAAATATTTACATTTCTGAAAAATTCTTTTTTCCAGGAAGCACTTTTACCATTAGTAACTTTATTTTATTTTTCAATTTACTGGTAAGGTGACATTTTTTGTGAAATTTTTGATACTTTTGTGTTATTCTTGTTTCTAATAGCTCTGTGGAAATATAAATCTAACTTGCACACATGTTGTCTAAGGATTTTAGGTTTTTATTTAATGAAGTTTGTTTTGTATTTGATATTGATTTTTAGAAAAATTTGTTTAAAAAATAAGATTGTCTGAATATCCACTTGGGATTTGTTTAATGCAAAATATAAAAAGAGTGAAAAATGTTTGTCAAAAGTATTAACTAATTTTAATATTGTGAGAATAGAATTTTTAGGATTCTCTAAAGGAAAAAATGATCCTATTTAAAATTAGTACAAAGTATTATTAAAATGTTACAAATATCGAATCTTATCGAATATTTTCAACACGTACTTTTATTTTTGTGTTTCAGATCGCCTGTTGAAGGTTTTAATTCTGGTGGATTAATTAATTCTTCATTAACGCTGCATGTAATATTATTAATAGTCTTATATTTTCAAGTTTCAATTTAAAAAATACGCAAACAACATTTTTTTGACATTATAGTTAACGAAAAATTTCTATTTATTACTCTTAACGATCTTGCATAAAAGCACAAATAAAAAGAATGACGAAATGTCAAAAAAAAAATGAAAATTACAAATGTCTATGGTTTTTCGTGTTATAAAATTTCTTTGTCTAAATTTTTTCACAATGTTGTGTTTACTTAAAAATAGATTTTTTAATCGTTTTAATTTTGACTTCACAGTTTACACATGTTTAATTTATTTTACTTACTCAATATCTTAGTGGTTTATTCAGTGTAAGTTGTTGGAAAATGTTGTTTGTTTATTTGTTTATATTTAATTATTTATTTATTTTGTGTTGCTCTTATTTATTGAATTATTATTAGTAATAGATTATCTCTTTTCTCATATTACTAACTCCAAAAGCTAAATTCCAATGTTTGGATAAATTTTAATAATTCTTTCGATATGTAATGTAAAACTTTTTATTTATTGAACCACCTGAAGAGAAAATCGTATTGATTTCAAAACGTAGGAGAATTTTTTTATATTAAAAACAACTTGTCCAAATGTATTCGTTTGTTTTATTACCTACCATTATAATATACTTTGTATTTGTCAATTTTAAAAAATTCAAAATGGCGGATTTATTTTTTAAAATTCCTCAAATTCAATTGAAAATTGTTACTCGTGGGTTTCTGGGGTCGCTGATTACGAATATGAAGTTAGATATTAAAAATTCAAAATGTCGGATCCAATATGGCAAATGAATTTTTTTAAATTGATCGAATTCCCTTAAAACTTGTTACTTGGGGGTCTTTGGGGTTGCTGATTGATTTATTCTCATTTTAAATTAAATTCATCTGACAATAATTTAAAGCGAAGAAAGTGGATAGCATTTAAAGTGATTATTATTTTGACGTAACAAAATGTTTAAAAAAATATCACTTTTTCCCATTTTTGTGGTTGTTGTTATGAGTTCAGATGTGTTTTCTTTTCTTATTTGTAATTATAATTGATGATTGACAATTGGAAAACTTTTTCTAAAAAATTGTTTTTTATAAGTTTATATTTTTAGTAGATGCAATATGGGCTTTAAAGTGTCAAATTTATTACTACTTTTTGAATTTATAAACGACCGTGGTCAGCAATTAATAATCTTACAAAATAAGATAAAATCATTTTTTTATTTTTTAGAAGTTGTCAGTTTAATTTAATTTTCCTTTATCTTTAGTTCCTAATAATAAGTCCAGTTCCTTCAAATTCATGATTACTTCGCAGATGGTCCCTAAAACATAAATTTTTAAATTATTCTTATTACATAAGGTGATAGGATAGAGTATGTTAAAGGTATGGAACAATACTAATAGTGAGTGCAAAAAGTAAGTTAAAAGTTGTTGGAAGGGATTAACTTAAAACGTTTCAAACTTAATAGTTTGAGTTTAAACTATTTTTTAAGAGATATAAAGTTTAAAGGCATTAATACATTTAAATACATATATAATTGCAACTTGAAAATACTTGAAGTTAAAAAATATCTAAAGTTAGAAACATTTACAAAATTGAAAATATTTACCTGAAAAAAATTCTGTTCTTCATGAAAAGCTTCAGCTAAGTTTGGGTTTATTTCTATTAAAGGTTGTTCATCATATCTAATGTACACAGGAATATAGCCCGGAATGTTTGGTAAATTTTGAAGAGGTAATCCATCTGTTAAACAAATGATAACAAATATTAACTATCAGATAATTAAGTTACATGCAAAATTATTTTTTCAATAAATTAAAAAGTATTAAGAAAATGTAAATTATTTTAGAAATTATATTTTTGATTTATGACCTATTTTTTAAAAATTTTAAGATTTTATTTTCTTTAAAAAAATATTTTCCAATTCATTTTAGAAAATAAACAATTTTTTATACTTCGACTTTTACACATTTATACGTAAGTTTATATTTTTAACACTTTGACTTGGAGGATTGATAATTAACTTTACATCTTATGATTATTTATATTTAAATATGTGCATTTTCACAATTTGCGTCACTAGTGTACGTTTAATTGAAATTTGCTAAATAACAGTTCAAATTTTTTTTAGAAAACTATCTTGTTTACAAAATCACTTGGTATTAAATGTAGTTATAAAACTTGAAAATTTAGAAAACGTCAATATTTTACCGATTGAAGATGAGTACAGCTAGTGCAAATTTTAAAAATAAATATCTTTAAGGAAGTAAAATGTTTAAGCACCAAACACAAAAATTTCTAATTAAAAACTAATTCCACAATAGTTTATAAGGTTATTAAATTATCGTTTTAAAATCATATATTTTTCAAGTTTAGTACAAAGTCAAGAACAAAAAATTTCTATTGTAACATCTTACTTACGAGCAAGGCCGATGGCGAGAATAATGAAACAGATAGATATTATTCTTATAAGCATCATCTCGTTTCTTTGATTCATACTGAGTATTTTAACATTCTCTTTTTCTTTTATGTGTATTCCCTACTCTCTTTGAGAAATACCCGCTACATCCTTGAAATCGAAATTTTATTGTAAACATATTGACAATTTAAATAAATAACAATGCAAATTATTAGATAATAAAATAATTAATTTTACTTTCTCGTGAGGAAGCACTTTGTTTGTAACTATTTTCGATTTTCATATAAATGTATATTATTGTGTACTTCTTATAATTTTTATTTTGCTTATTAAATCACTTAATTTCTCAATTCCTACAGGATTTCGTGTGGTGTCTTGCAACAGAATTCGTTTGTAAGTTAGTAATTCGTATGATTTTCAAAAATTCATCGAATTCACCTGAAAATCGTTAAATCGTTACTCAGGGGTTTTCAGGGTCGCTGATTATGAATTCAATGTCAGTTTTTAAAAGTTCGAAATGTCGGATCTAATATAACGAATAAATTTTTTAAAAAATGTCATAAAACTCAAAATTGTTTCAAAATTCTTACTCGCGTGTTTTTATGATTGCTGCTTACAAAAAACTTTTTGAGTGATAATAAACACAAAATTTTACCCCCGCAGTCAGCTGGTAAATATACTACCTATGCGGTCGAATTTTACACTTCTTTATTTTTTTTGGTTTTTTAAATTTAATCTGTTTCGTTTTTTAAAATAAAATTTTTGTTAGTTTAATATTTTTTATGGATCAAAGTTTAACAATGATAAATAAAGCAATTTTTGTTTTAACATTTTTAAGGGGTCAATGTCATTGCAGGATTTATATTTTTTAAATGAAAATCTTTAAAACATGGTACGGCACATACAGTTTTATTCCAAATCGAAATCTCTTATTTCTGTTGAACTGCTTGAATTTTTAGACTACCTTTCCAGAGAAATAAAGATTCATCAATAGAAATATTTTCTCCGGGTCTATAAACTGCCTGAAAATTTGTAATTAAGTGATATAAAACTGTCCGAATTTTATGCAGAACGTCATTGCTAAGTATTGCTGTAAAAAGACTTGAAACATGCAGGATAACAAGTTTAGATGGATATTTTTGTATTTGCATTCTTGTTTTTTCTATCAATTACAATTTATTATACAAATTTTTATTCAGTTCCCACCACTCAATTTTTGGCACGTTAAAAAAAATATTTTAAAAATGTTGTATTCCCTATAGGTCTAATATATTCTATAGATTTCCTTCTATAGATTTTTTTAATTTGAATGAAAATTGCAATAATAAATGAGTCATTCCATTATACATTCGACTAAATAAGTGGTCGTGAAATAATTTTAAAAAATTATAATATTTTGTTTGCAAGAATGATTTTAAAGGTATTAGAATCACTAAACAAAAATATTTTTAATATTTATTGTAAAAAAAGCATATAAAATGTATGAGGTTTTAAAAATTGTCACTTTTTCATCTATTAGAAATTATATTAAAGAAAAATGTTAAAAAATTATTGGAATTTATTAAGACTAGCTACACTCGCTAACACTCGTTTGGTTGTAATTAAACTTATTTGTTTTTATTTATTTGTGCTAAGTAAATATTTACTAGACATAAATATTATTATTTATAGTACCAATACTTATAATATTGTAACAAGAAGTTAAACGAGTTAAACATATACTCTAAATTATTGTTAAAGTAGGTTTAGGGAATGTATCTAGGTTATGGATATTTTAAATAAAGAAAACAAAATGTATTTACAAATTTTTTATTAAAAATAACCAATACTCTCAAAAATATTTTTCTTTGTTTTTAAAATGGTTGATCGTCTTTCATAGGTTCTGCAATTTTGCAGTCTCCCAATGCAAGAGAGTCAGTGCTACCGATGCGATCACCAGAAATCTTTTGTCATAATAAGGACTTAGTGCAATTTTCATTTGTTTTAAAATTTAAACCATGTGAAGATTGGACCAAATTAAAAAGTTGATTATCAACATGGACGCTATACATTTTGCTCCGCAAGCAAAAAAATTCTGTTCCTTTTTTTCAGAGCACTTATGTTACGTGAAACGTAGTGTCTTTTTGTTCGCTTGCGGATGGTTGTACACGTTATTAACAGGGTAATTAGATTATCAAATGCAGTGGCGGATCCAGAATTTATCCAGGGGGGGGGGTCATTTATAGATTCGGCGAGCAACGACCATAATTAGCTGACCTTTTTTTATGTAAATTTTTCGCCCCAGGGGGGTCATGACCCCTCCCTGGATCCACCACTGATCAAATGTTTGGATAAATTAAGGTGTCGGTGTCAGTGTAGAGTAGTTTACATTTTTGCACGTCTTACTTATTCAAAATATAATCATAATTGAAGTCGTTAAATAATGTTTTTGAAACATCTAACCACAAATGTATTTCTTTGCTTAGATAAATATAAACAACCAGGTATTGATAATTATTTTCTATAAACATCATCGTAGTTAAGAGAGATGGAGAGGTATTTCATTTTCTTTAACTATGTAATAATTTTGAATTCGAAAAATATTGACGTAGATAACATTTTTCTGATATGAAAGACGAAGAGGTGAATCAATAATCTTTTTCCCTCTATTAACAAGACCATATAAGTTAACAGAAATGTCGTTCAGAGTTTCAAATTTAGAACTGTCTTTGAGAGAAACAGAAAATACAAATCCACTAAAACTGATTATGTTTTCATAGGTTGTATTTTGACGCCTCTCGTGCATAGAATGGTTATTAAAATGACAGTAAGATAATTCTTGTTCAAAATCGGGTGCAAAACAATGCTTACTGAAGATATCAGATAAAATGATTATTTTTCGCATGTTAGTGCGACCTTTAAATTAAATTATTTTTTGATTAATTATCTCATTCAAAATTATTTTTCTAATTCTTTCACGTATGAACTGGAGGCGTTGAGTCACTTATTTGCGCCTTTTAAACAATCACATAATTTCTCTCTTTTTAAAGCAAAGTATCTTAAAACCGAGTAAGAAGTGAATTCTATTCATAAACCCACACACGGTGCTTTTTAAACCGATTTAACTGAAAGGTTCTGGCACCTGAAATTTTCTTCTTGATTTCGATTCTAGATCACAAGTACATCATTTTCCAACAAAAACGAAAATCTTCTGTGGAGCCGTTTTTAAGAAAAGTTGATTTAAAAATTCAAAATAACGAAAATTCAGATACACATTTCAGAAAGAATATTATCAGAAAAAACTTGTATACATTAAAGAGCAATTTTTATATGATTACCAATGTCCTATACCTATAAAATTATAATAGTTTACGTCAGAGACGAAGAAAACTAACCTTTTGCATGTGCTTTCAGTTTTTCTTTATTAAAAACTAGTTAAAATGAAACAACTTGCTTTAAGAATTTTATTTTCGCACAGTTTTTAATAATAATGAAATGTAACATTTTATAATCTAGGAAAATGTTACAATACAGTTATATATTATGTAACATATTATGTAATTTATAATTATGTAAACATGTATAAATATAACATAATATAAAATATAACACAACCCCAAAAAAAGTATCCTGCGCAAAAAATCATAGTACGATAACCCTATGTATTTTGGTAGGCTGAACACGAATCTGAAGTCTGATTAGCTCCTTCATGTCAAGATTTTTTTCTAACACCAAAAAACATGTTAGATTTTATGTAATAATTTTGGTAACATACAAATTTTTTAAAATTGATTAGATTCGTTTCAAACTTGTTTGTCGGCGTTTTTTAAGGTCGCTGATTACGCATCTGGTGTCAGATTTTAAAAATGCAAAATGTCGGATCCAATATGGCAGACAAATTTTTTAATTTTTTTGGATTATCACTTTACTTGGAATCTAGGGGTTTTCGGGGTCGCTGATTTCAAATTTGTAGTCAGAATTTCAAAATCTAATATGGCGGTCATTTTTTCGAAAATTGTTTTATTACGATTTAAAATGGGTAAAATGTACAGTTTTTATCTACAGTAGTTTAAAGTTACGGTACATCCGAAAAAACTCAAAAAATGTTGCTCAGGAGTTTTTTAAGTCCCTGATTACGAATCAGAATTTTAGAATTCAAAATGCAGGATCCAATATGACAAGCAAGTTCTTAAAAAATCTATCGAATTTACACGAAACCTGTTGCTCAGGGGTTTTAGTGATTTCATATAATGATTCTGAAGTCAGGATTTCAGAATTCCAAATTGCGAATCCAATATTGCAAACAAGTTTTTAAAAAATCTTTCGAATTCACACGAAGCCTGTTACTGTGTGTTTTTTTGGGGTTCTTAATGACTTGTTTGCAATATTGGATTCGCAATTTGGAATTTGAAACCCCCAATTATCACGTTTCGTGTGAATTCGGGAAATTTTTCAAGAACTTGTTCGTCATATTGAATTTACCATTTTGAATTCTTAAATGCTGATTTCTGATTTGTAATCAGCGACTCCGAAAACCCCTAGATACCAAGAAAAGTAAAAATCCAAAAAATTTTAAAAACTTGTCAGCCATATTGGATCTAGCATTTTTCATTTTTAAAATCTGAATTAGTAACCATAAAAAATTACTTTTTTAATATCTACAAGTTTTTTCTGATGATATTCTTTCTCAAATATATATTTCTTGAAGAAAAGCTGACTTTTCGTTGTTTTGAATTTTTAAATCAACTTTTCTTAAAAACGGCTCCACAGAAGATTTTCGTTTTTGTTGGAAAATGATGTACTTGTGATCTAGAATCGAAATCATGAAGAAAATTCCAGGTGCCAGAACCTTTCAGTTAAATCGGTTTAAAAAGCACCGTGCACAGTAACTTAGTTGCATGACTTTAATTATGCAGATTAAATTAAGATCTTTTCTCTCTGGGAAAAATCCCATGTCCATCCCAAAAACTTTTTTAAATATATTTAGAATTAAGATTTGGAAAACTACCGACGATTTTAAGATCATGGAGGTTGTAATAATGTTCTAGAACATTATTTGGCGAATATGAAACGTTTTAAAATCGTTTTAACAACGTTTTTGAAACAAACATGTTTTTTACCTAGAGGGTTGATACCTTTCTTCAG